GTCACGGAACGGATTAAGTTCGTAACTAGAGGTACCACTGTACGTCCTTTCCTTTTCTCCAAGCTAAAGCTTGAGATAATTTTGATGTGTGGTAACTGCTGAAAATAGCAGCCCTATGTCTCTTCTTCTTCTCTTCTCTAACGTACATCTTAACTTCAGTAATTGTAGAAGAAGAGATATTTGTACCTTTGCAGAAAAGAAAAATAAAAGATGGGGGCCTGCAATTTTTGACAGCTTCTGTTCATCTCCCACGATGTCTAGTTCTGGTCCAAATACTTAGTTAATCTACATATTGTATATTAACGGAAATTCCATGAGATCTACATCTCTTTGTTTTCTGTACAACAAAGAGGATAACCAGTCTTTAAAACTAGATAAAACTGTACAGCGCTAGAATGGTTCAGTATGTTGCTATGTAATATATTACATAATCATTTTACACACACACACACACGCGCGCACACACACACACACACACACATATATATATAATAAAATTTTCAATCATTCATTCAGGAGCACTGAAATAATCTATAGTACTGTTAACTGTGATTTTATACTGGTTGTTATTTCAACTCAGTACTTTTAATTTCTGTCACTTAAAATTGATCTTCTGTCATAGATGAAGAAACTGAAGATCTGTATCTTGTGGATTTCACTCAGAAGATAATTGACAAACAGAGAGAAGTACAAGAACTATGTACCAGTGAAACTACCAGAAAAGCAATGGGGGAGGAGAATAGGGAAGAAGAGAGACTCTCTGAAACAGAGATCCCACCTCCACAGGACCCGAATGAAGAATGGTTGGTGATAGCACTATTGTGTATTATGTGGCTTCACTGAATTCAGATGAAATAACCTGACTTATCAAAACACTCTCTCTCCATTCACTCTCTTTCTCTCCCCTTGCTGCAGTGAGGAGCTACCAAAAGTTCCCCCTCATGCTGGAATAGGTGTTATGTGAATTGATAGCCATTTCAGTTTATTTTTTTTATATAATTTTTATTAAAAATTTTAAGAAAGAAGATAAAAGCTAATAGGAACTAATATAGAGTGAGAGAAAGAAAAGAAGAAAAAGAGATCAAAGAAAGAGCTAAAGATGCAAGAAAGAGAGGAAAAAAGTAAAATGAAAATAGAAAAAGAAAAGAAAAAATACAAAGAAGCAGCTTCTGATTTTCTTTACAGTAGTTATAAGTACATTTATAAATTTACCTCTTGCTCTATGGTTACAATGTAACTCTCTTTTTCCTATAATATATCTAATCACCAAAACCATAAATCATAAGTTCTTTTTTTTTTTTTGCTTGTTTCATGCAAAAAGTCTATAAGAGGTTTCCAGTCAGCAATAAACATAGAAATACCCAATTCAATTTAGATTGTAGCTTTATTATAATACATTTGCACTGCTAGTCCCCTGGAAGTTATGTATCAAGTTTAACTGGACTGCTAGTTATTCTTTTGACAGCAATAATCATGTTAAATTGTTATACTTTTGAAAAGGTTGAAATTAATTTATCTAAGTTAAGTTTGCTTTTCATTTTAGGGTTGATTATGTGGATTCACTAGGCCGTTCAAGACGATGTATGAAGAAAGATTTGCCACATCTGCTACAAATGGATAAAGAGCTCCAGGGAAAGAGGTAAAGTTTATTCTAGAGAAAAGTATGTAAAAAACAGCCATGTTTTATAGGGAAATAAGAAAAGAATGGATGCTTGGATTTTAATTGAAAATGTACATATGATAACAAGACGTAATGCAGTCATTATTCTTCCCTCTCTTCTGCCCAAAATGATAAATGTTCATGAGGAATCTAATAGACATTTGGTCAAGTAATACCTGAATTCTTAAAAATTAGAATAGATTCTATTTAAGTGCATGATTTCTATACCTATCATAAATATTTACTGGCTAAAATTATTGAGAGCCAGTATGATATAATGGTTAAGGTGTTGGACTAGGTCTGGGAAGAGACCTGGGTTCAAATCCACCTTGAGCCATGGAAGCACATTGGGTGACATGCAAAGTGCCTTGAGCACCTAGAGAAAGGCAGAATACACAAATAATTTATTTTTGTATCTTATAAATCTTTATTGGCTGAAATGACTTGCTTTTGTTCTCTTAACACAGGTAATAGTTTCATAGTCTTTATAGTAACTCATCAAACTGGTCTAGATCTGAAGTTACGTGTTAGTTTAAGAATAAGGAAACTAGAAATCACAAAAATAATGTGGAAGGTCTCACAAAATGGTTGCCTACGTTGTAAATGACAGTTGGCAGCATTTCTTGAAACATGCTGCTGAAAATTCTAAAAAATAAGGAATGTTCTCTGTGGCACTATTGTAATGTATTATTTGCAGACGTATCCATTAAGCAAGTGTTGGGCTTCAGGGTTTAGTGGCTACACAGACCACGGGCAACTGAGCAGGGACTGATTAGGCTCCTGTCTTTATAGCCTTTATAGCTTATATAAACCACCTTGCCTCTGAAGATGCCAGTCACAGTTGCCAGCGAAACATCAGGAAATCTTTTGCCTAGACCATGGTCACTAACCCTGAAGCCCAACACTTAATTTTTTTTTTTTTTAATCTGCGCTCAGTCATTACTGACTCTGCAGTGACTGCTTGGACGAG